CAACCATGGAAAGCCAGTTTTCCAGCACTGGTTATTAAATAGTCCAGTCTACTCACTGCTTTGTGATGCTACCTCTTTCCTATGGCAAAGTGCATTTTACAAAAAGTGAAAAGCATTTGTCATAGATATACAGTGCGCATTTGTCAAAGATGTAGTCAGTCTTTCATGAGGGAACCACCAAGATGTGGAGCTCATTCAAAGGAAGATACAAGAACTGATACTGTGGTCCTTCAGTTGGGTATAAAGTCAGACCCGTGTCAGAGGGTCATGTTAGATACAAAACTGGCCACCACCTTACAGGGAGGAACAGTCTTCCACTTCAGAGTCATCTTCTCTTCTGGATGGAAATCGCTGCCGTTCCTTCTAGACAAAACCACCTACATTGTTCAGCTTCTTCCAAGTCTCACAGATGGTATCTGAGTCCTCATTAATGAGAGTCAAGTCACAGGAGATTTCTGAGACAGACTTCTTAGATGACTCTGTGGCTACTGGTTCTCCGACTTGAACTAATATGCTGATTAATTCATTCATGGAGTTTTTAATTCCAAATATTACACAATTTCTCACATAAATTAAAACTTCTTTCCAATATTTCTGTTGTTTCAGTTATTCTCATATTTCTTTGTCAGACCCTTTGATATTACCCTCAGTAGTTTTTTAAATTAATAGACTTTATCTTGTAAAGCAGTTTTAGGTTTAGGGGAACAGAAAGTACAGAGAGCCAGCCTGCACCCTCGTCCTTGCCACAGACACACACGGTGTCCGCATTATTCACATCTCGTGGAGGTGTGGTTCTGTCACTGCTAAGTCAATACTGACGCATCGTTAATAACTAACAGCCCTTAGGTTTCCCTCTTGGTGCTGTACATTGAATGTACAACAAACTAGAAACGCACACATTTTTAATGACATGTATCCACTGTTATAATATCATGAAAACTAGTTTCACTGCCCTAAAACTCCCCTGCTTTCCACTTATCCCTCCCGCTCCCAGCCCCGGCAGCCCCCGATCATTTTACGGTCACCCTCATCTCGCCTTTTCCAGAACAGAACATCATATGGCTGCAATCAGCATTTCAAGTCTTGTTTCTTTGCTTGGTAATTATATCTAAGGTTCCTCCCTGGCTTTTCATGACTTGAGAGCTCATTTCTTTTTAGCTCTAAATAATCTTCAGTTCTCTGGATGGACCACATTTTCATTTATCTATTTACCACCTGAAAGGCATCTTGGCAGCTTCCACATTTTGGTAATTAGGAATAAAACTGCCATAAATACCTGTGTGCAGGTTTTCATGTGGAGATAAGTGGTGAATTTTCAGGAATACTTTTGTTATTTTTACATAAAGCTAAGGCAATTTTCTACGAGTTGGGTATAGAATTGCCACATAAAACACAGAATGCCCTTTTAAATCTGAATTTCAGCTAAACAATGAATACATTTTAATACACATATTTCATAGGACAGTTTTATATTAAAAAAATAGTTCATTTACCTGAAATTCACTGGGTATCCTACACTTGCCACTAAGTCTGGTAGCTCTAGTCAATATACTTTTTAAACAGTCCACTCTTTCCTTAGGGTTCTCTCATTTCAGATCTGCAGGGGCCTTAGGGCTGACCATGGCCCCTCAGACCTGGTCCCTCTACAGGAAGCCTACTGTTTTTCTCTGATATAAACGGTGGGAATCTAAACCTGGAGGTAAATTTCACAAAATCATGGGACCACACCCGCCCCCGTGCCTGAGACCTCCTGGAATTTGTAACTCTCAGACTTGTCCACTCTGAGCCTCCAGCAATTCATCAACTACTGTTCATGGTTTTCCTTCCTGGCAATGGCTCCCATGGTGGCTTCTATTGTGTGCCTGCTCCAAGCAATTGAGATATCTTGCCATAAAAATCTAGAATAATTCTGTTGGTTATCTACAAAGCAGGTTGCTAGGATTTTAATGGGAATTTTATTAAATCTATAGATCAAATTGGAAGCAATTGGCATCTTATCAATATTGAGTCTTCCAATCTAAAACAAAATATCTCCCTGTTTAATCATATCTTTAATTTCTTTCATCAATTTTGAATGTGTCCACATATAAATACATACTTTGCTAGATTAATACCTAATAATTTCATTTTTTATGCTATTTTAAATGATATTTTTATTTGAAATTCCCATTGTTCCTTGCTGGTATTAGGGAAAGCTATTAGCTTATATATTGTTGCTGTTCAGTTGCTCAGTCCTGACCAATTCTTTGTGACCCTATGAACTGCAGCACATAAGCCTACCCTGTCCTCCATTATCTCCTGGAGTTTGTTCAAACTCAGGTCCACTGAGTCAATGATGACATCCAACCATCTCATCCTCATCTCATCTCATCTCATCTCCTCATCATCCCCTTCTTCTCCTGCCTTCAATCTTTCCCAGCATCAAGGTCTTTTCCAATGAGTCAGTTCTTCACATCAGGTGGCCAAAGTATAGGAGCTTCAGCTTCAGCATCAGTCCTTCCAACGAATACTCAGGGTGGATTTCCTTTAGGATTGACTGGTTTGATCTCCTTGCTATATTAATCTTTATTCTGTGTTTCAAACATCATTCACTTGAGTTCTCGCTGAATGTCCATCTCTTCTCACCTTTGGTGGGCCTACATGGTTGTTACCAGATTTACTGCTCTTCTTAAGAACTTCATTTCAAACTGATTTTTATATATTGTTGACCAATTTTCAGTATATCTTATTTTGCCTTTATTTGTATTTGTTTCCTTATTTTTACTTTGGGGTTTAAATTATTCTTTCTCTAGTTTCCTAAGGCTTAGATCAGGATTTGAAGTCTTTCTTATTTTCTCATATATGCATTAATTGCTATACATTTTCCTTTAAGCACTGCTTTTGCTGCATCTCATAAATGTTGAGGTTTATTTTTATATTAATTAATTATAGTTTTAAATTTTTCTCTTGAGATCCTCTTCACTGACACGTTATAATAGATACGTTTTTCTTTTTCTCAAATATTTTCACATTTCCAGCTATCTGTTTAGTATTGATTTCTAGTTTCTGAACATACTTTGTTTCATTTCTGTTCTTTTTAAAATGTGTTTTATGGCCCAGAAGTTGGTCTAACTTGGCGAATGTTCCATGTTAACCTGAACAGAATGTGTATTCTCATGTTGTTGGATGGAGTATTCCATAAATTCCAATTAGATCAAATTGATTGCTAGTGCTACTCAAGAAAACTGTATGCTTATTGATTTTCTGCCAGCTTGAAATATCAATTACTGAACAAGGGGTGCTGAAGAGTCCACCTGTAACAGTGGTTTCTCCAGTTCTTCTTGCAGTTCCGCAAGGCTTTGCCTCCTGTGTTTTGATGCTCGGTCCTTAGGCGCCTACGCACGTAGGAGAGACGTGTCTTTCAGAGGACCCACCCCATTGTCAATCCGTAACGTCCCGCTTTACCCCGATGGCTTTCCTCCCTCCAGACTGCTCAGCTGATGTTACTATAAGTTCTCCAGCTTTTCTTTGCCGAGGTTTCAGACTCCTCTGGTTCCTTGTCTGTCTGCCTGGCCGACTCTGGGCTTCCCTAAGCACTCCTCAGAGAGTCTGCGCCCTGCTGCCCTGTGAGCCGGAATCCACTGTTATTACTCTGGACCCCTTTCAGTGTGAGGTGGCGTGTAACGAAGGAAGACCACACTGCTCTGCTCTGACCCTCGTAAGTGTCCCCTCATCTTACCCCGGCCCAGGTAAGTGAGACGGGGTCCAGAGTTGGGGCTCTGGCCTTCCCCAGGTGGGATCAGCGTCTGAGGAAGCCGTCACACCTGTGCAGTAACCTGGTGGAGCGCTCGCCAGCCTGTTTCATCATAACTCCTCGGGCGCCCCTCCCACCGGCTCTGGGGCATCTTCCTCAGATGGGTCCCTGGGGGCAAAGCCCACAGATGCGTGGGGTCCACCGGAGGCTGTGGTCCCAGGAGCCTCCTGCCCTCCTGCTGGTCCACACACCGCCTCCAGCAGCACACCAACGCTATATTAAAGTCCCCTGCAGTTTACACCCACAGGGCTTCTGCTCCAGGTGGGCAGATCTCCACTGGAGCTCTGGTCACTTCCCTCAAGATTTGGGGTACAGCTCACCCATGACCTCTGTCCTCTGGTATGTTTATAAAACTTATTGCTTATCTGTGGTTTTTCATCTTTTTCTTATTATAGGGCAGCAGTGACAAACTCCATGATCTTTAGATCTCACAGCTGAAAGTGGGGCGTACCATATATTCTTGCACAAAGAATGAAAAGGAAGTATTCAGTTTGAAAAACTTTTTAAATTATGAAAGAGATAAATGCATCTATCTGAGGTAATGGATCAAGGTCTTAGAAAATTGCTGGAGAGATAGAATCTAGGTAATGAGTTGAGGGATTCATTTTGGAAAAGAGGAGGTAATGCATACTTATCAAGAAAGAATAAGACACAGGGACCCCAGTGTTCATACCAGCACTACTTATAATGGTCAAGACATGGAAGCAACCTAGATGTCCATCAACAGATCAATGGATAAAGAAGATGTGATATATATGCATACATACACACACATGCTAGAATATTACTCAGCCATAAAAAAGAATGAAATAATGCCATTGGCAGCAGAATGGATGGACCTAGAGATTATTATACTAAGTGAAGCTAGTCAGACAGAGAAAGATAAATATCATATGATATCACTTATATGTGCAATCTTTAAAAAAAAAAAAGGTACGGATAAACAGACATAGAAAAGAAGCTTATGGTTACCAAAGGGGATAGTTGGGTTGGAGAAGGTAAATTAAGAGTTGGGATTAACATACACACACTACTATATATAAAATAGATAAACATCAAGGAAGACACAGGGAACTATACTCAATATGCTATAATAACATATAATGGATGAAAGTCTGAAAACAAAGAGTCTGAGAAGATAAGAGTCTTGTAATAAATAACCTATGATGGAAAAGAGCTGGGAAAGGACATATATGTGTCTTCTCACCGCTTTCCGAGGATCAGGGTCCCACCCGACGACCTCGTCGCGCCTTGATGACCTCTAACGGCCCCGTCTCCAGTAGAGACACACTGCAGGTTAGGGCTTCACCATGGGAATTTTGAGGGAAGACAATTCAGCCCACGGCCCTGGAAGGCAAGGGTTACAGGGTCCGTGGTGGGAAGACCCCAGGCGGGCAGAGGGCGTCCGTAGGGGAGGAAGGAGCAGCAGCGCAGAGGCCGGGGCCGTCCGCGGCGAGGGGACCGGAAGCCGGGGCCGGCGCTTCTAGAGCGTTTGTGAACCGCGCGTGAGGAGACCGGCGAGCCGCGCTCAGCTGCCTCGACGGCGCGAGGCCCTTCACTCGGGAGCCGCTGGGTGTCTTGCCTGGCTGCCTCCTGGGCCCTGACAGTTCTGCCACAGCGATAAAAAACGTTCCTCCTGGCGCGGCTGCTTCTGCTGGGAAAGTCTCACCTTTTCTAAAAACGAATTTGGACTAGTTCCCAGATCATGCATCTGGTCCTCTGATTTACGGCTCCGGAGTTCAGAACAGTGGGTAAACTTGGGTCCCTCTCTGACTCCTGAGGAGCGCTGCCGTAGACGCCGCGGGGCTGTGGCCAACTGTCTGCCCCTCGGCCGCCCCTGCGCGGGGCGGAGGCTCTGCAGGGCGCCCCAGAGTCTGCGGGGGGAGCCGCCCCGGGGGCGTCCCTGCGGGGGGAGCTGCCCGGGGGGCGTCCCTGCGGGGGGAGCCGCCCCGGGGGCGTCCCTGCGGGGGGAGCTGCCCGGGGGGCGTCCCTGCGGGGGGAGCCGCCCCGGGGGCGTCCCTGCGTGGGGAGCCGCCTCGGGGCGTCCCGTGAGCACAGCCCAGGTAAATGCCTCCCGCTCTAATGTCCCACTCTCCAGGCGGGGCCGTCAGGACTCTACTTCTGCGGTAGTACGCTACCTGTTTCTGAAAACAAATCTCACCCACTGTCCGAAATAGATTCGTTGGCCACACTCCTCAAAATGTTAATTTCTCTGATTCAACTTCTTAGGCAAAAGTGGTTGAAATTCTTAAAAACGAATCCTAAATCGAGGGGGGAGATCATCACATTCTCCAGTGAACCAGGAGTGCTCATTACATTTTCTACCTGATCTGAGAAAAACCAACCAACCAACCTGCGGGTTAGCAGCCGGAAGTCTTGATTATAAGGGATATTCGTCCCTTGAGAGTCCATTAGGTGTCATTCTCAGACACACATTAGACTCACTTTTGGAGCTTTAAAAACTAGAGTTCTCGGGCCTCACGGCAGAGCAACTGAATTAAAATCGTCGGGAGCGAGGCCGCTGTCTGTGGTTTATCAGAGCGCTCTGGGGACTCTGCGATGCGGCAGGAGCTGAGAACCAGTGTGAGAGCAGAGAAACAGCGAGAACGCGCGGCACACGCGGAGGCAGCGCTGAGCCTCTGCTTCCTGGAGCCCTGGGTCTTTCAGAAATGGCAGTTTTGTGCAATCTAGGAAGAGGACTTTTCTGAGCAGATTACCAGGGTGCTGTTGAAGCAGAGATTTCACCTATTTAAGAATACAAACTATTTTTAGTCATTTGGTGATTACACTTCCATGCAAACAATTCATATGCTAATTAAACCTTTGCCTATTCCTTCCAGCAGGGTTTCTAATAGATAACGACACTTCACCTCATTTTGGGTTACTGTTTGAACTTAAAAACGCGAAAACGACATTACTTTAAAAAATATTTAGACTCTTCTGCTAATGACAATTGAGAAGATGCTGCTCGTACTACTCACCTTGTTTGCATGTATAAATTCTTTATTTGTATCATCGCAAATTCCTTTGCTAAAATGACACGTCAGCTTCTGCATCTCCAGTAACTAGTGCACTATGTCACTGCTGCCTCTGCTGTATGCAATCTAGCTCAGTAATTTCTCAGCAGTACTTGATACAAAGGTCGCGGCATTTTCAAAGTTACCCCAGGTGACTAAGTTGGGAGAGGTATTTACAGGCCAGCTAGATGAACTCCAAAAAAGGTCTGGGAGGTTAAAGTCTCCCCTTAGGACCCAGACATCTCATTTCCCCAGAGTCTCCAGACAAAGGGCACTCAAAGACCTGCATTTCCACCCTTCAGCTATTATGTGAATGACTGCAGGGAGGATACTTAAGTCTATTGCAATCCTCAGTGAGTGCTCCAGGGAGGAAGGCAATACAGGTAGCTCTCAGTATGCACACAGAAGTGTTCAAGGGTGGAGAAGGCGGCCAAGGGGATGAGATGGTTGGATGGCATCACCAACTCAATGGACACGAGTTTGAGGAAACTCCGGGAGATAGTGAAGGACAGGGAAGCCTGGTGTGCTGCAGTCCACAGGGTCACAAAGAGTGGGACACGACTGAGCGACTGAACAGCAACAGCAACAAGAACAACACCTTGAGCTCCTTAAGTTGGCCATATTTTTGCCTCACGTGAGGAAGTTCCGTCAAGGACCCCTAACTTAGCGTCTCCAAATGCCTTTGAGCTTCATGCCATCATCTGTTGCTTTGAGTTGGGACTTTTTATGTTTGGGAGGACTTTTCTCGCATTTACAAAGGTTCACAATTCTTCCCTAATGTCTATGATTGTGACTTAAAGACCAGCATGCTAAGAAACAGGAGACAAAAAAGAAAAGGCATGATTTCTCCCCTGAAGTTTTTTAATGTGGAGGGGCCCACGCAAGACTTGAGAAGGAAAAGATACACCTGGAATTTAAGTTCCGAGTGAATCCAACCACAGCACACATGGGAAGTTCAGAGATGGAGTGTGCACTGTGAGTGGAGAAGGGGGGAGGATCCCTTGGGACGATGAGAGTCCACCATGGTGCTGGGAGCAGCCCTGAAGCTTTGGGGGCCACAGTCTGCTGAGCTGAGTTGATCACTGTGGACTCAAGTTTCTGTCTCTAATTTCAGTTTCACAGAGGCTGTGTCTGTGTTCATCCAATGCTTGGCTGCACCGGTGATCTGAGGGGGCCCAGTCACGTGCTGGGCAGTGATGCCGCTCTCAGGTGGGGCTGTCAAGGCAACACTGGCATGGCCTCTCCCTCAGGGCTTCTCACAGTCTGGTGGCTGTACTGAGAGCCTGCTGGCCAGGAAGTAGGAAAAAGGCCCTGTATTCTAGTGTCACTAAGCCTGGGGGGCACCCAGATTTGTGTGGGGAGCACAGCCCGCACCACCCACGGGAGAGTGTGACATGTGGTCTCTTTATTTCTTCTATTTCTCTTTTTAATTTTTAATTTAATTCTTATTTTATATCACAGTATAGTTGATTTCCAACATTGTGTTAGTTTCAGGTGTATGGCAAAGTGATTAGTTGTACATATGCATACATCCATTTTTTTTCAGATTATTTCCCATCATATGTTATAAGAAAATACTGAGTAGAGTTCCCTGTGCTATATAGTAGTTTCTTGTAGGTTATCTATTTTTTTATGTAAGTAGGATGTATATGTTAACCCCAAACTCCTAATTTACCACCCCCCCACCCCACCTTTCCCCTTTGGTAACCATCAGTTTGTTTTCAAAGTCTATTTTGTAAATAAGCTCATATGTACAATGCACTACGACTCAGCCATAACGAAGAATGAAATAATGCCATTTGCAGCAACATGGATGAACCTAAAGACAATCATACAAAGTGAAGTAAGTCCAACAGAGAAAGACAAATACCGTGTGACATCCTGTATATGTGGAACCTTAAAAATGATACAGATGAGCTTGTGGCCCTCTTTCCTGGGCTGCAAGGTGCTCTGATGCAGAAGCGAAAATCTCATCTCGGTGAGAGGACAGAGGAAGCGAAGAGGAAGCCTTCCTGAGCACAGGAGCAGGAGGAAGGGCTGGGGCGGGTGCATCCACTGCGTCTGGGGCCGCAATGTGGTCGTGGTGCGGGTGGAAACTCCAATGTTTCTGAAGCCGTTAACACCCTGTGGGAAGGAGGTGAGTGAAGAGCTCCTCAGACTCCCTGGAGGACAGTTTTCTCCCATCATTGACCAGGATCGCCATAAAATAAAGTAAAATGAACTCCTAGAGAAATCAAACTCAAAGCCTATGAAATGTAAGCCTGATTTTTTCTTATTATTAGATTCAACCTTCTTCCCACCCCCTTCACTCCACAGGCATCTGAGTGAAGGTGAGCGCTCACCTGCTTCCCTCTTGACTCCCTGCAAAGCCCTCACCTGCCGTGATACAGACACCCACTAATATCAAACAGGTGGAAGAAATGGCCATTACCACGTGACCCTGATGTGCAGAATGACACACATCACACCGAATTTTTAAGAGATATTACATAGTCGTTGTTTCAGTCTCTAAGTTGTGTCCCACACTTCAAGACCCTATGGACTGTGCCTCACCAGGATCCTCCATCGATGGGATTTCTGAGGCAAGAATACTGGAGCAGGTTGCCATTTCCTTCTCCAGAGGATCTTCATGACCCAGGAATCAAACCCGCATCTCCTGCATTGGCAGGTGGGTTCTTTACCACTGAGCACCTGGGAAGCCCAGATATTACGTGAAAGACTTTGCCCACCCAGGCTACTGGTATTAAGAACTTTCTGAGGGCAAGGGCTGTGTTTGTCTCTTCTTCATGAGTCCATCACAGAGTGTCTGACCCACCATTTGTATAAATATGTATAAAGTTTTATCCACACAGTAGCAAGTAGCAGCATTTTGTTTCTTAATATTCCTTTATATGAATGCACACACTTGATTTGTCCATTCATCAGCTGGTAGGCATTAAGGTCGTTTCCACTTTCGGGGTACTATGGGTATTCCTGTTGTGAACAGAGGTGTGCAAATATCTGCTGAAGTTCCTCCTTCAGCTCTCTGAAGTGTGCACTTAGAAGTGGGATTTCTGGGTCATATGCTAGCATCACATCTCATTTTTTGAGGTACCACTCTACTGTTTTCCTTAGAAGCTGCACTGTTTTACATTCTCACCAACAATGCAGGGGTTCCAGCACCTCCGCACCCTCTCCAACACTTGTTTTTTTTGTTTTTTGGTAGTGGCCATCCTAATTGGTGTAAAGGGTGTATTTGTGGTTTTGTTTTGCAATTCTCTGATTATTAGTAATATTGAGCATCTTTTCATGTGGTGACTAGCCATTTATGTATCTTTGAAAAAATAATTATTCATGTCTTTTGCCAGTTTTTAAATGATTGTTTGTTGTTGGGTTGTAGGGCTACTTTATATATTCCAGATAGTCCCCCTTTGTTATAAATAGATGTGGTTTGCAAATGCCCCCTCC